TTCTAAAGATAACTTTCTACCACCCTGAATGTTTAACTACAGTTACATTTAATTGGCACTGGTAGGCAGTTCATCAGGGGAGTTGCAGTGTGACTATTCAGGAAATGTCTGGCTGCCATAGTGCTGGTGGGCTTCTTCCTCTAAAGTCTCACCAGATCACTTGTGGAAACATTTTGTGCCACATGTTGATAATGTGTCCAGTTCAATCAATCAATCAATCAGTGAATATTTATGTTATTATGTTAAAGGTTGTTCTATCACTACTGCTGACTTGACTCTTCCCTCTCTATTGGCCAATGTACTCATTGTGAATGGTGTTTGGGCAAAGGTCAAGATGATCCTTGTTTGACCATAGTGGTTGTATACTGTTGATTCTGGGCGCTTCTAAATGTTAGAACCAGTTAATCCTCCAAAAAATAGTTATTGAGTACTTACTGTATTTTCAGTAAGCATAGTTCTCCTAGTCTGGCAAAATCTCAAAAACTAGAATCTTTCCCTGCCTTTCACATTCCATTGCTCTTCCAATAGTTTATAAATAACCAGAATTTGTATAAAATTATATAGTTAACAAGATATATTTGTTCTTGACCCAACAGAAAATGTTACACAGAGATGTTTTCCTTCTTCTACAGCTGAAGAACCAGGAGATTGGAGTTTGTCCAAAGTCACAGCCAATAAAGTGACTTTCGCTAGAACATTTATCTTTGCCATATTTAAAACTCTGTAATAATTCCTTGGATTTTGAAATAGAATTAATAATGAGATGAGTAAAATAGTTTTAACCAAAAAAATTTAATATCAGATCTAACGAAGTGATTTTGTCTCATTCTAAAGCAGAGCTAAGAACCTGGTGCATTTCCAAACCTCTCCCTCATATCCATCGAGGCATGATTCAGATCTTTGAAGTCTTCCACAGTTGCCTGACCTCACAGGAGTTCTCCTGGCACAAGCATATCTTGGGCCTGATTTAATCTTCATTTCTCAGAGCCACACTTCTCAGAAGCTGTGTGTACAGCTGTATCCAAGTGTAACGACCATTTCTTCACCTCCCTAGGTCTCCAATTCACTCCAATGTGGCTGCTGGCCCCGTCATTCAATCAAACATCTTGTAGTAAGGTCATGCTGACCTTCCTGTCACTGAAGTAAAAAATACATTTTATTCTCTTTATCTTTAAATTCTTGCTATTCTTAAGAATTCTTTCTTTTCCTGGTCACTAATCGCAATCCTGTCTTCTATATCTGATATTCTGTCCTCAGATTGGCTCATTCTGCTATGTAAACTTTCAATAGAGTTTTTAATCTCCTGGATATCTGTTTGCATCTGTTTTATGGATTCCATTTTTTTCCTATGCTGGGATTCCATCATGTTCCTCAGCTCCTCTATTTTTTTTTTATGTGTGTCTACTCTAGAGTTATTAATCATGTCTTTCTCTATGACACAATCTCTGTTGTTATCTGAGAAATTACACATGATTTTATTTTTCTAGATCCTCTTTGGTTTCCATTTCAGGGAGTCCAGGTGGTTGAGTTTCAGATTGTACCATCTTGTTGCCCCTTGGAGTTGCCTTTGGTGATCTGGAAGTCTAGTTTTAAATCTTGTTTAGGTGTCTTCTCATTTCAACCAATGCAGTCTGCTATGCCTTTATTGAGGTGACTCTTTGCTCTCCCAGTGGGCTTCAATTCTCAACAAGCCTTAGAGAGGCCTCCCTCTGCTGCTCACCACTGTTCCAATACCTGGGTTCAAAATGATGGCCTTCTGGATCCCCTCGCTGGGCTATTGTCCAGGTAGGCTTCTGGCTGGTGTCTGCACACACTTATTGATGGTATCTGGGCAGACCTCTAGCTGGAGCCTGCATGCCTGCACAGATGTTTTCCAGGCAGGCCTTTGGCTGGGGCATGCACACCCAAGCTGCTGGTGTCTGGGTGGGGCCCTGGCTGGGGCCTATTCCTCTTTATCTTTAAATTCTTAAGAGCCAGAAAAATATAGTGGTATACAAAGCACAAAACTCCACAGTCAGACTGCCTTGGTGAGGTGGATCTTGAGTGTCTCCCAAGAGACATTGTGTTAAAATCTTCATGTCTAACTTGAAAGTATTGGGAAGGGGTAGAACCTTTAAGAGATGGGACCACTGGGCAGTTTTCAGTCATGAAGTTATGCCTTTAAGGACCTTAGTCTCTTCCTCTTTCTACCTGTCTTCATGTCCCAGCCGTGAGATGAGGAGTTTTGTTAGAAGACTAATGGTCTTCTTGCCATGATCAGCTGTCTTGCTACAGGCCCCAAAGCAAAAAGACCAAGTGATCATGGACTGAAACTGCTTGAAATGTGAGACAAAATGCAAAATAAACTTTTTCTCTTATTAAGTTGATTGTCTCAAATTTTTTTTACAGTAATGGAAAGCTAACTAAAAGATTTAGTTTATTAGCTGTGAGTCTCAAGGAAAGTACTTAAACTCTGTACCCAAGCTGTGCTCCATCCTTAAAATAGAGATAATAATATCTATAGATTCTACATGATACTATAGATGAGAGGTTACAATGAGTTAATATGTATAAAGATCTGAGAAAATATGCATATGAACTCTCATAGATGTTGGTTGTTAGTATTTATTATTTCTTAAGCTGGTTGACATGCTATGGTTTAGATTTGAAATGTCTCCCAAAAGTTCATGTGTTAAAGACTTGATCCCCAAGGCAGTAGTGTTCAGAAATGAGGCCCTTGAAGGTGATTAGATCATGAGAGAGCTACCGTTATCAATAAATTAATCCATTGATGGATTCATAATATAACAAGCTACTGAAAAGTAGTAGAAACTTAGAGGGTAATGCTTATTTGGAGGAAGTAGATCCTTGTGTGCATGCTTTTGAAGGCTATATTTTGTCCCCAGACCTTTACATTCTCTCTCTTTCCTTGCCTCACTTCTGTGTCTCTGTATCTCTTGAATATTTTTTTAGCCTGACAAATGTTTAAATTTTTCAAGCTTCATTTGCACAGTTTATTTTTTATTAGTTTTCTATTCCTCAACAATCTCAACAAAATTCACATATTAGAATATCAAGCTCATTGAAATGTATCTTTCTATCACAGACATTTGTTATGAATTCTTGATTGACATACTGAGCTCTCTTCTTCACATCTCCACTTGGATGTCTTCCATACAGCTAAAACTCAATCTTTCTGCCTAAGCTGATTACTTTCTGGTATTCCTCATTGGAATAACCAAATTCAAATTTGTATTGAAACTGTAGAACCAGGAATTATCCAAATTATTTCTGTTACTTCACTCCTGATGTCCCATATGAGTCTTGAAAATTAGACCTTTCAGATTATCTTGTTCACTTAATTCTTCACATCTAGTCAATGTCCCCCTAGTTTTCACCTGAACTATTGCAACAGCTTTCTGTTATTATTTATATTGAGATGTCTTCCCAAAGCATCATGTACTCATGGGGGTGTGATACGTATCAGTAAATTAGTGCACTGATGAGCTTATAGCTAAATGTGATATTAGAAGGGAAAGCCTGGATGGAGGAGGTGGATTACAGGGAGTGTAGCCTGGAAAGATCTATCCCCTTCCTCCCTTGATCATTTTCTCTCTGCTTCCCCCTGCCATGTCATGAGCTCTTTCTCTTCTGCCCTCTCAGCCGTGCTGCCTTGCCTTGGAACTAGTCAACTATGGACTGAAACCTCTATGAACTGTGAGCTGAAATAAACCTTTCCTCTTTTAAGTTGTGAGTATTGGGTATTGTGTCTCAGCAATGAGAGGAGTAGCTAAGACACTTTCAAAGGACTCTCTTCTTGTCACCCTGACTTCTGTCTATTCATTTTCCACATTTAAGCAAACACAGAGATCCTATCAGTACCTGCTTAAATCATCTTGATGCCTTTCTTATACTCTTATATAAGAAAGTCAAACTATCCACTAGAATGAACTCCCAAAACCTACATATGTCAACTTTAAATTATCCTACACTTCTTTTCCCTTGTTTAATTACGACAGTTAATGACCTTTGTATTTTATTTAAAAGTTTCTTGCTCCCTTTCATTTGTGGGGATTTTGCATATACTGATTCTTCTGCTATAAAACTCTAAGTCTAGCTCTGTCTCTATGGCATAATGCCTGGAACAGCATGCACCTCTTCTTAAAGCACGATAGCTACAGAAACACATATATGCTAATTACAGCGGAGTAGTTGCTAACTGTGCTTAAATCCTGGCGTATTTGAATAGATGTGGTCACAGAAACTGGTCAAATGAATTAGAGATTTGTTAGAGAATGTTTAACAATTTGCATGACTGACACACAACAGAAAGAATAAGGCATTTCAATTCACTGTGTTTTCTAGGATTGTTGAAACTGCAACTCCTGGGTCCTCTCTACTCATAGGGAGTATTACGTGACCCAAATACAAGAAAATAATTTTACTTATTAGCGAAATCTTGTTTTCACTCTAATGTATAGCCAATATTTGAATTTTTTCTCCCCCTGAAAAGAGGCTGTTTTAAATTATGGTGACTATACTTAGACCCTACTAATAATACCCAAACCACAAAGAGAACAAGCTGGGAATCACATTGTCTTCAGAATGGCCAGAAATATTGTAAACTTCAGCCTTTTGATGACTTCAAAGCTGAATATCAATGTGGTTGCTTTTACTAAAAATCACAGAAAAGTACAGGCCTTTCTTATTCTGCAACCCCTTCCTAGTGCTTAATAATAAAGTAAATTGTTTTATGGTCTTGGTGTCCAAATGTCAAAACTTCTAAAATTACTACACAAACAAAACAGGATTATTTCACTTGAAAGTTTTTCCTATTAGTATTATACAATCTATTAAAAAGAAAAAAAAAAAAAAAACCTCTGGACAGTTCATTTGAATGGCCACAAGAGAGCAGTAAGAAATTAAAGCTTAGAAGGATGACTCACAATCATACTCTGTGTGTGTTTTTTGCTATTAGGAAGAATTGAAAGTCAAACCTACTCATATTTATTCTTAGACTTAACAATATAGTTTAGAATTTTTTTAAACCTTTTCCTTGTTTTTAAAAAATTTTTTTTGCAAAGGACAATGTAGATAACATCAGTACTGAACACGACCTTCAATTAGGGCTTGTAGCAATGCAAGCTCATGTGTGAAGAAGAAAGTGCCCAGAGGCAAGGAACATTTTGAGAGTTCATCTGGCCCATCCTTATGGATAATACAAACCAGACTAAAAGGTATGTAACCCCTTTACAAAGTCACATGGGAGAAATTTCTAGCATCTCTAGAGTATGACAAATACTTAAAAATGTTAACTATTAGGAAATTTTTATCATGTCTAATCCTACTCTTTCCAAAGAAGTGAAGATATTTTCATATGGAAATCAGTGCTAATAATTGGCATTCTCCAACCTATAAAATCTAAATGGTAGCTGAAACATAAATAATACAAAGTCTATAAAATAATGATAATTTGAGACTAGATGAAACTTCTTAACCTAAAGTCCATGGACCTTAGAAGGTTTATAAACTCCATAAAATGGCATGAATATTTTCATATATATGTATTTATAT